AAGCATATTTGTGCGTTTAATTCGTATAAGATATAATAAATAGTGTGAATGCAATATGAAGAGACGCTGGAACGCTGGGTCTTACAAACAATTATAGGCGAACAATTTTTTCGCTTTGTTGATTGTCAATAAGATTTTGAGGATTTTGAGAATTCACCAATAAATTTGCAAAGTCTACTAAAAAGATTACAGATAACAACTTACCAATCAGCTTGTGCAGTTTCGTCTGTGATGGATCGTCGTAGTCGAGAAGTCTTCTCAGATGAATCACACCGCTCTTTGGGTCGATCCCAAACACGGAGGTTTCCTCACGTTGACCTCCATGGTATCCATAGAGAGAGTAGGTAAGCTCTCCTTTTGATCTACGATCATCTATCGCCCGGAATCGATGAGCTCGAACGTCGACAACACTAAAATTTAACAAATTTCTCTTTAGATTTGATTTTTTTCATTAAAAGAACGGAAGCTCAAAATGTTTTAGGATATAACGAAACATATACGCCTTTTTCAGATATTTTCTGATTTTTTCATTTCCAGAACAAGGCAGAACATAGAGATAAATGTTTGAAGTGCACATAGTACTAGCTTCACATAAGTGGTTCTAGCGATTATATATTCAAGATGCTGAGACGAACTTATATTCATATTTTGCAAAATCAATTGCTTTGTAAAATAAATTACCTATAATCTACGAGACTGTCCTCAGCCAAAGAAACAGTGTAATGCTGTTGAAGGAACTGTGGTGGACGATCGCCGGCCAAAATTTCTAGTTTCGCTACTTCGGATTCCTTAATATTTCTTGGTATATTATCGATCGGACTTCAACTAGTAACTTGTGGTCACTGAAACTCCATCCAACCTGTTTCGTTGAATTATCCTTAGGTGTTTTGTCAATAGCTTGCACCAGTACACGATACATTTGCCCTTCCTTGTACTGTCTTACTGCTGTTCTTACTACCCCTGTAGCTGCGTCGACTGTGAACATTCCCGATGCTAAATTCGATTTTTTTAAAATTTCGATTTGTAACTTTCAAAAGAAGTTAGCTCACGTTCAGTATTAATGAGCTTGTACTCAACCTCGCCGTCGCCATCTCCTGCTTCATCACGAGCCACAAACTAGAGGAAGGATACATTTTTAAAGGATACAAGTAAATGCTTGGAAAAAAGGGTAAACGAAAGATAACTAAAGATTAAAGCAAATCCGACCAATTCGATTATTTAGCTTGAGTGTTAATTGTTCAAATTGTAGCAAACAC